AAGCTTCTCAGGAGGCCGAAGGCCTCCTGAGCCTTCCGAGGAGGCCCGCCCCCGATGCTTTTTCTCATCGAGGATAAAAGAACTCCGAAGCCTGATAACACGATGGAGACATAGCCTCACTGAGGTCCCCATCTTCGCATTAGGAATAATGGATCTGGGCGGTTTGGCTCGAGACATCTGCAGAACAAAAGATCCCCCAATCCCGAATGTTTCTAGCCCTCCTACTAATTTGGGCTCCCTCCCACAGGGTTAGGGGCCCTTGTTCTTGCTAAGCGTTCTCCCCCTTTGGCGCCGCCGAAGTAAGTCATGCCGGTAGGTAGTTGGCTCTTTTCGGGCCTGCGGGGGCTCTGCGCCAGACCTCGGGGCTGTCAACGAAACAGGCGCGCCAGGGCGCTGAGCTGGTCCTGGGGTAGGGGTCCAGGCCTGCGGCGGGGGCACGCTGTGGAGTTAAAGGCTCACGGCGTTGGGAGGTCCCTGTGGGAGGGGCGGGCAGGAGGGGTCGCCCTTGAAGGGGTCCTTCGCCGCCCACCAAACCACCCCGACCCAACCCGAAGGCTTCAATGTGCCCTCCATGTTTCCAGTGGGGAGGGGGCGGTCAGCAGCCGAACAACACCCACACACATCGGAAGCCCGTGCCTCCCCCAACCTGACATTCGGATTCTCCGGTCGGGTTGGGGTGGTCTGGTGGGTTAGTCCTTTGTTGCTCCATGGGAGTGCGGCCGTGCCAGAAGCCTTGCAGGAGGGGCCGCGGCCTCGGGAGCGGGAAGCAGTCGCAGGTCTGCGAGGGAGCGGCCTCGGGAGCGTGAGCCCGTCGTGACCCATGTGAGCGGGATGGTGGCCCTCGGGGAGCGCGAGTTCGTTGCAACTTGCAGTAGGCAGGGGGCTTCGGGAGCACGAGCTTGTAGTTAGTGGGATTGTGGCTTCGGGAGCGCGAATACCCTGGTAACTTACAAAGGGGTTGGTGGCTCCGGGACCGTACATGGACATTATATTCGAACCCTGTGGCCCAAGATGCCCCCCAGACCCCCCGAAATTAATATTGATGGCGTGGCGACGGGGGCTGGGCGTGAGTGGACAGAAATGTTCGAACCCCAAAGCACCGCCTTTTTCTGAGATCAACATTGATGTCGGGGGCGTGGGGGTGATTTAGAATCTCCCTTGAATGTGTAAGGGTTCGAATATTTTGTCCATCTACTGGAGCTCCAAGCGGTTGTACTCGTTACGTTGCCCAGCGCCCCCAGAAACTCAGGATTCATTCTTCAATCATTGCAGCATTGGAGCCAGAGGCGAGACACCCAACACATGTTGAAGGGGAACTTTGCCGGGGGCCAAGAGAACACTTACGCCTGGCAGCCTGTTGGTCCCCAAGGGGCCAGCGGATATGTGCTGCCAGCCTTTTGCTGCGACTATTCGTAATGCGCAGTGCTGCTCGCTCGTGCCTCATCTGCCGGAACATGAACGCGCTCAGCAGCTTCACGGATGGAGGTTGAGACCTCTTCAAATGGCGCGCGTTCCGTTCATCATGTTCGTGAGCGTTGTGATTGTGGACTTTGGTGCCCCCCGGATAACCACAGCGGTGGAAACAACGGGCCTCTCGCCTGAACGCAAGGCCCACGGGGCGCAGACATATTTCTAGGACTGGCGAAGCGGCGATTTGAGACGGGAGGGTGTGCTGCAGCATTATTTATGCATCTTGGGTTTGCCTTGCTCTTCCTCACCAGCCCTCATCATTGTTCCGTCTTCCTTATCCTCCGTCTCGTCCTCTCTCGTTTCTCCCCCTCCTCTCCCTCACTCTTTCGGTCTCACTCTCTCTCTCTCTCTCTCCTCTCGCTTTCTTGTTCCTCTTTCTCTTTCTCTTTCTCTTTCTCTTTCTCTCTCTCTCTATAGATATCCCCCTTTCTTCTCTATCTTCTCCTTCCCCTATCTTCTCTCCTCCTATCTTCTTCTCTCCTCCCGTCATCTCTCGTTCACTCTCCCTTGGCTCCAATCTTCTCCCGTCTCACTCTCCCCTTCACATCACGTCGACTGCTTCTCTTTTCCTCCTACTTTTCCTCTCCTCTCTCCATTTCTCTCCCTCTCTCTCTCTCTCTCCCTCTCCTCTCCAACGGGCGCTCCCTCTCCTCCTTTCATTCCTTACATTCCCCTTCTCTTCCTAGTTCTTCTTCCTTTCCTCCATCCGGAATTCCTACATCCCTGCTCCTCGTCATCCTCCTCCATACCTTTCCCCGTATGCATACCAGTTTCCTCCTCTCGACGGATACGTGCAATGCTGGTGCCGCCTGTGTCGCGCACTGTGATTCCCACGCAGGACTGCATGGCTGTTTTGATCGGAGGGTGCTCAGCCCTTCAAGATGCCGCTTCTGCTGCAGCGTTGGCCACGTGTCAGGGTCGGCGCTTCGCTCCCGTCGTTCAGAATGGCGCTCCCGCCTGAGCGCGGGCCACATTTCTGGTATTCCATCCTCGCCGTTGGTATCCCCTCTTTCCCCCTCCTCCGCCTTGCCCTCTGCTCCTCCTACTACTCCTGCTCCTGCTGCTGCTGATCCTCCTCCTCCTCCAATGTACACAGCCCCTCCCCCTTCTGTTTGAGCGTCCGATCTTGGGGTCACTTTGGGGATCAAGGTCCTCTAAAATACCCCAGCTGGTGGGCACAAAGGAATTCAGCGCAATGTGAAGGAATTGCTGGGAGGGGTGGGGTTTCAGATATCGCGCGGGCTCGCCGAGCCTGTCCTCACCCTCTCTTCTCTCACCTCCGTCCTCCCTCTCCTCCCCTGCAGCAAGCAGATCGAATCAGGATTCGGCCTGCCAGCAGGTGCCCCACGGACATTTCTTCTCCCCCATTGGCTCCAGGGACCCAGATAAGCCCTGGGCTCTTCTGTCAGTACCCCATATCGACGAAGTGTGCGCCCCAATATTTCTGTTAGCAAGATTTCGGGTCGCATGTTTCTACTGAATCCTCCGTCCTCCTCTTCCTCCACGGCGCTGGCGGTGGTAATTCCAGCGGCCTCCCTTTCCCTCCTCCACCTCATGCCGAGTGTAGTTTTTTTCCTCCGCCTCCCAGGTGCCGACTCTTCCTGCGAGAGCGCCGCCAGACCTCCCGAGCGTGTTTGTGCACGCCAGCGGGTGCTGGGCCAGAGCGCGCACGTGCGTACGTGCACGACAGGGGGGCGGTTTCAGCGCCCCTGGCAGGCCCCACCACAGCTGCAGGGTGCAGCTACGGCGTTGCGCTTGCAGTTCTGCCCTCGCAGGGGATACCGGAACCCTAGTCGTGGTCCAGTCCAGTCCCTTCGCCTCCCTTCGCCTCCTCCCCTCGCCTCCTCCCTTCGCCTCCTCCCCTCCCCCTCGCCCTCCCCTTCGCGTCCCCCCCTCCCCCTCGCCGTCTCCTCCCCCTCCCCTCCATCCTCCTCCCCTCCTCCCCTTCGCCTGTTCCCTCCCTTCGCCTCCTCCCCTCCCCCGTGCCCGCCCGCCCGCAAAAGGCCCCGCTCGGAGCGCTGCCGGCGCTGAGCTCGCTCCCGGACCGGGAGCTGCCAGCGGAGGAGCTGGTCCCCGGGGTGGGGTTTCGGGGGGGTCGAGGCTTCGGGGGCGGCCAAGAGGGGGGTGATGACCAGGGGAGGGGGTGGGTCTCATGGCGGGGGCCATGATATCTCTCCAGATTTCGTGGCGCCTCTTCTCGTTTCCAGTGCGTCCCCAGCCCCGCCCCTGGGATGGGATGACATGAGTATTTGTTCAATATACTCGATGTTGCTTTGAAGGATTCTTGGCTTGATTTTGGAATAACTTTTACGCCGTACCACACGTGAACGCGCTGCATGAGTACTTCCTGTATTTCAGTATTCTCGATTTCCGACCGGGCCACGCTTTCTTTTTGTCGTCGTCGTCCTCCTCGTCGTCCTCCTCCTCCTCCTCCTCCTCCTCCTCCTCCTCCTCCTCCTCCTCCTCCTCCTCCTCCTCCTCCCCCATGCTGTTTTCCACGTTGTGATGATCGCAGCATTGAGCGGCGCTCCGGCGCCACACCTGCAGCACCCTAGTTGGTAGCAGCGCGCGGGGGTGTCCTTGTCCTTGTCCTTGTCCGGCCCCCCGGCCATGGTCTGATCTGCGCCCCCTCCTCTCGGACGCCCCAGTCGTGGCCGCCCCCGAAGGCCGAGGGTCCCAGGTCGCCGATGATCTGATTTTTCAGTCCCCGCGCTTTCTCTTCGGTCTCGGCCCCCCGGGCCGTGTTCGGGGGCCACCGAGCATGGTTCCGGGACGAGAGAGCATCCTTGGGAAAGCGGTCGGGACTTCCAGGGTCCGTGGATTGAATAAATGAAGTCGGCGGATGTCTGGAGTTGAGGAGCGAGAGTCGAGGATCGAGTTCTGTTCGGACTCTCCTGAGTGCTGGGGTCCTCGTCTGGAGTCCGCGGCGCCGCGCCCCACCTCCTTTTCCCACCTCCCCTCTGTCCTCCTCTTCCCCTCCCCCTGCCTCTGCTCTCCGCATGCCCATTCTGGCACACCCCTCCCGAGGGACCTGGGGGGCGGCGTCTGAGCGAGTGCACGCTTACCGAGGCCGTAGGCGGAAACTCCCTGTGGAGCACGATGCGTGCGAGGCACGCGCAAGGGTCAAGAGGGCTCGGTGTAGCAGCGCGCGCTCACGGGTGCTACAGACGAAGCGCCCTATGGGGCGTGGTGTGGAGATCACCATGGGGCGCCATCCGCGTGAGGGTTGTGCCGAACTGAGGCGGGGTAGTGCATCTGTGTCGGCCGGCGCGGGCGCCTAACAGCGAGTTATTGCATGTGCGTTATGATGTGTAAGCCATGTGGTGTAAGGTATGATGTGTAAGTGTTTGGTGTCGGCTGTGGTGTATACATGTGCAAGCTCTGCGCTTTAAGCTAGGCTGTGCAGGCTTTGCCCTGTGAGCAAGGTCGGTTACGCTATGTTAGGTCATCTGTGCGGTGGAAGCCATGTGTGATCTGTGCTGTGTGGTCGAGACGGTGCGAGCCATGCGCTTAGACACGAGCCATGCCGC